AGTGAAATGACCAATAAACCAAAAATAAAATCAAATGAGCTTAAACAAACTCAATTGTCAAGCCTGAAGATCTTCAATAAGATAATAAGCACAGATAATAATTACAATAGAACAACAAGACTCCTCATAAATCAATTATAAGTTCAATTTGAAGTTCTAAATAGTTCTGATAGCAAAATTCACTAAGAATATTTTTGTTTCTAAACTGCCTTCAACATATGTTGATTCTAAAAAAACTACTAACTAATCCACATAATATTAAGTACCTCATTGGCTCTTCAAGCTTTTGCTTCCGCAGAAAATACAAAAATTCATGTAGAATTTGCATGTTGGTCTGGGCTTCTTTTTGCTCCATCTTTCCTTCTTCTCCTCAAGTAAAGCCAATAGGCCATCACCTCCTTAACTGACACCTCACAGCCCTGTCTAAGAATCGAACAAAGAACACTACTTAATGAATCAACCAATCACCAACCAACACCTTAACAGTCCTAACCACCACTGAGTGACCTGATGACAAATAAAAAAAGAGATTCCTGAGTTTGAGTCTCCAGTGCTAATAGGGTTGACCATAGGAGATTATCTCATCGGACTTTCAAGGCCCTAGGAGTAGTTGAGGCACGCAAGCTGGCCCGGACACCCGTGATCAACCCAAAAAAAAAAAAAAAACCTTACAAGTTCACATGAACACAAACATTAGACACATACTCTAAACTATTATCCACATAAACTAACAAATCTAATTGCATTTTTTGCCTATAAACTGACCTGTTTAATGCTTGATGTAGATGTTGAACTGGTGATACAGACTTCGCTACTTGAGCAGCAGACGTTCTCTTCAATACTAAAACATCCATTTCAAATTAATTAAATTCATGCTTAGATCAACAAATACTTATTTGTCAGCTAGCGGAAAAGAATCTGCTAAAATACAAATGTTTTTACACACTCCTCTGCAAGAGACTAACCGGAAAAATTCTAGAAAATATCATGAGAAATAGTAATAAATTGTAGTAAATGATTGAAAATGGCGGAGCAACTAACCTTATTGAGCAATAAATTAGGGAAAATATGTTTGGTAGTTGAAATAACCGCAACAGGACAGTCATTTTTGTTTCTCAATGAGTGAAATCCCATGTACAGAAACTATGTCCACAAGCAGTCAAACGCGTCCTTTATATCTCCATCATATCGACACAAGGTATCCTTGTTGTTCTCCGCTCCGCCTCTTCCTCCGCCGCCATCACATCGGTTGTGACGCGCGTCCGCCGTTGACGGAGGCTGTTGTTCCGATTTCAAGCTGGAACTAGAAAGCCAACCATTGAGGACTCCACCATTCAGAACTTAATAAATTTTATTTAAAAAAAAAAATTCTTTTCTTTTTAAATTATTTTAGTGTCGTTTCCTGCAAAGGAGAAGAAAGGTGAAGGAATGAAGATGATGCGAGTTTGTGTACAAGTTTGGTTTGGTTTGGTTTTAAACAACACAGAGAATTGGTTCGTTGACAGAAGAAGAGGGAGAGAGAGGTTTTATGAGGGGTGAAAACGGCCCACGTTAGGCGGGCAATTTTCATCGAATCGTTTTCTTTAAGTTAATGCTGTCAGTACGGCCGTTAAATCCATTTTCCCCCTTTCCTTTCTATTTTGACTATTGTTTTAATTGGACAAACTTGTGGAATTTTAAACAATTGACTGGCAATAAAAAACGGAAAAATTCTCTGCTCTTGGATTTGAACACTAAACTTTGGATGATCCTTTAATCAGCTAGTATAATTGTATAAGATTATAAATGGATTTTTTTTTTTTTTTAATCAAAACCAGTTTACACATATACTCGATTAATTCTCAATCCTCGGGAGAAATTAGTATCATAATCCATCGACAATATTCTCCACTTAAATCTAACTAATCTTTAGTTATTGGAAGACATTAGCACAACAACCTACTCTTACAATCTCCCTCACTTAAATCCTTAGAAAGAGATTAAACGCAGTAACTTGAATCCACCATTACAATCCTCACTTAAATTGTGAATGCTCATAGAGATGACAATAGATCTGATATTTTCAAGTACTCGGCCTGAAAAGATCGGGCTTTATCCGATGTTCCTGGGCTTGGGTTAGGCCTGATTTTAAGGCCCGACCTCGGGTGTGGGCTGATCCTGGGTATGTCTTCAAGCCCGTCCCAGCCCAACAATTTTAGTATTAATTATACTAAATTACCCTTATACTATATATTTAATTACAAGATTATCCTACTTATATATACTCATTTTTTAAAACCCTATATGGATGGATGGATGCACTTTGTAGAAAGTTATTTATATATTTGGTGAGTATTCAAAAATAAATTAATATTTAAAAATTGTTTCCAGAATTAAAAATATAAATTTTTTTTTTTAAATTTATTAATATTTAAAAATTCACATTATAAAAATTGACAGGCTTGAGTCGAGCCTGAGGTTACAAAAAGCCTGTTAACCTAGGCTTGGGCTTTACTTGTCATACCCGTGACAAACCCGAGTTAGGTTTGGGCCTTACTGGTCATACCCGTGACAGGCTCGGATCAGACTTAGGCCATTGTTATGAGATTAGGTTTGGGCTTGGATCAAGGAATATTTGATCCCGACTTAGTTTATTTTCATCACTAAATATTCATACGAGGAATCAAATCTAAGATCGGGTATCTATCTATACTATTTTCAATTCTCCCACACTATCTTAATTAGGGGTGTTCAAAAGAACCGGTTGGAACTGGAACCGACGAGTACCCTGGGTTTGGTTTCGGTTCCTACCCAAAACCAGTCGTCAATGGATAGGTTTCGGTTCCAAATTTTTGGAACCGTTACTGTGCGGTTTTGGTTCTGGTTCCTATATTTAGGAACCGGAACCGGAACCAGGAACCGAAACTAATATAAAATAAAATTAAAGATTAGGGGAGTTAATAAAAACTTTTGTAGAAAAAATAATGTGAATACATTTATATTTATATTTCATAACATTTAAAGTAAGTTGGTTTGACTTTTGAGAATCTATCTTTACAAAGTAATAGAGTTTGTAATTTTGAATTTATAATTTGTAATTTTATTTTTGTTAACAAGTACCAGTTGGGGGGGTATTTGTAAGTTTTTAAAGGTTTTTTTGTCATTTTAAAACTTTTGAGGGATCATGAATTTTACAGAATACCTAGAACCGGAACCGTTGTTACAGGTTCTGGTTCTGGGTACCTAGGAATCAGAACCGACGGTTTCGATTCTAGTTCCAAATTTCAAGGAACCATCAATTCTGGTTTCGATTCTGATTCCTTAAAAAAGTACAGAATACCCAGAACTAAACACCCCTAATCTTAATTACCCACCACCGCCACGGGTAAACATGACTCACATGAGAAGGCGAGAAATTCATGGCCATGCCACGTATTCATTTAACTAGCAGTTGGCATTAATGAGTTTGGTCTGCTCTTGCAAACCGGCATAACTATCAGAACGCACTCCTCGTTTTGTAGTTTGATTGGTGTCGTGTCTTTATGACGAGACAAAGGAAGCATTAAATTGCTGTCGCTAGATATTTTCAAAACTTATCAGGCCTCATCTGACCAACAAATATCTCTTAACCATCTGGCAGGTTAGCAAGAAAGCTTTAATTGAAGCACTGAATCATTTGGTAACTCCAACATGCTGGAATAGTAGAGATTCTAGCAGATACCTCTACCTCTACCTCTTACGTATTTGCTTCCTTGTATCTCAATTATTTGTGTGTATATATTTGATCCATATCAAGGGCAAATACCCAAATTTGGGGCTTTTTTTTTTTTTTTTTTCAAAAAAATCTGCCCATTGGTTAGTTAATTTTGTTTTTATATTATTTATGAACCGTTTGTCTTTGTTGATCTCAACACTGTTACATTAGGTTCATATATAAAACTTGATTATCAGTTAATTTAATAAGATGCCATACATGACACGACATGTCAATTCATATATAAAACTTGACAAAAGTGGGATTAATGAAGAACAAATGAAAGATTATAATCAGATCATAAATAGCAATTTAGGGAAAACAGAAATACAGAAAGGAGGAGAGAGTGTTTATCTTATCAGAATTTAAATCTAAAAAAATGAGAGATAAGCTCTCTATTTATAGTAAGAGATTTCTGGGTAATAATTACAGGTCTACCAACGGACAGGTATTATACAGTTTCTATCTTGCTTCTTATTGGCCAGTTATACAAAAGATATCCTTAAATCGCACAGGATTTGGGTAGGTAGGTGACTCCCAACCACTCACCCACCAGGCCTTTACCTATCAAGCTGATAACAATCTTACTCCTATCCTTGAATAACATGACAGTACATGATAGACATAATGTCTTCCTAAACTCCAATTGGTCTTTGCTGACACATGCGTGCATCATCCCTAATTTTTTGGGCATAACATATTTGATCCACGTCAAGGGAAAATACCCAAATGTGGGTAAAGAAAATCTGTCCATTGGTTAGTTAATTATTTTTTGTATGTATATTATTTATGAACCGTTTGTCTTTGTCGATCTTAACACCGTTATATTAGGTTCATATATAAAACTTGATTATCAGTTAATTTAAGGCTAATAACTTAATAAGATGCCATACATGACACGACATGTCAATTCATGTATAAAACTTGACAAAAGTGGGATTTATGAGGAACAAATTACAAGTAACAAAGTGATATAAGTTCAACCATATTCAACGGAGTTGGTTGCTTCAATAATTATTAGTTAACCTCAATGTGGTGTGAGAAGAAACTTATCAAGGACAGAGTATACATCACCCAAAATGTTGTCTCTCATCGTCGTGGACCCAAATCTCTGATGTGTGGCGAGACCCCCACAGTTATAAATGTTGGTGACGGTGTCACCTGTAGCAATCAAGCAGAACATACTGGAATGCCGGCCTGTGAAAATAATGAGCTTGTTAATAATGAGGGACCATAAGAAAGGAAATTTAAAGTAATCTCCTTCACATGAATTTTCAACAACCTGCATTTATTGATTGTCAATATACATAATACATTTGATCTATACTGTTTGTTTCTACATATACAACTCTACCAGTATTGGTAATTTCAAGTGAATATTTCATTCTTTTTTCTCTAAACTGTTTTAAGTCTGCTTCGATGGAGGAGATGCAACAGAGTTCTATATACAATCTACAATTCCTTCACAATCGGCTCCAGAAATGACTCAACCAGACTCATCTTCCGAGTCATCCTCCAGATAAGAATGAGGGGACCGAAGGTTTCCAGGTGTCTGACAAGCCTTCATTGTCTTACAATGTTCGGCTTCATCATCTCTGATATTCACAAACACATCGTACAAATTCTCTGAAAACAAAAAAATAAATCAGAAAGAGGCACCGCGATTTCTGTTGATATCAATTACTGTTATTCATCCTTCTTAAAAATAATGAAATTCTTGTAGCTATACAAGGAAATGACTCATTAATGATGTCTTCAAGTCAAATTTACACCAAATAAAACATACATATATCCCTACCTATTAGTATAATGTAGAAATTGAAAGCTACTTCCTAACATTACATAAAAAATTCAGATTCTGTTCTTTACCTATTTTTGGTCTTCGAGTATTGGGGACTCTGTCAGTTTGAAATTCATCTGGACAGAATGTGAAGGACATGTTAAAACTAGATCTCACTTTAAATGACAGAGCTATAGATTGTAAAAAGACCAGACTTACCAAACAAATACAAATCACCTCCAGTATAGTATTTAACAGCAACCTCTGGTGCAGGCATCCCTTTCAACTCCTCTATAAAGAGAAGAAACAGACCAAATCAATATTAGTAAAGATATACTACAATGCTATATGTATTAAAAAAATAATTTGATCTCTCTATTTCATACTGCAAGATGTTTGCCAAAAGAAACTCTCTACTGCCAAAGACCAAGAGTCCTATTGCATTGGGGGCCTCCCAAGTGCACAATGTGAAAATACTAACCATGAGTTTATAAGCTAGAAATAATGGGGATCTTTTTGTGCTTTTACCGTAATGTCAACAAGCAAGACATGCACAAATGAAACTTAACTGAAGCTACAAATATGTCAAAACTCTTTACCTCCTCGGGCCTTGAGAAATTTGTCATAAGTTTCAAAGGCATGGTTCTCCACGCATTCAGAAAAGTGATCTGCAGAAGTGATGAACCAACCAAATTATTTAAATTCTGTATTTGTAGATGGTACAATCTTGTGAAAGCTTATTCTTAAATCACCTTCCTACAACACTACTTTGTAGTATTTGTGTGCATTTGTCCAGTAATCTCAGATGATGATAGGGAATAAATAAGTGAAGACCCCTTTTTTCTAGGCCAAAAATTAATAAACTCGCATAAATTTTGTCTACTTGATTCAACATAATGGCTCAAAATAGAACAAAAGTTCTTACAACCATTCAGAAAACTAAACCAGCAGGACAATGATGTATGAAATAAAATTCTGGGAATATGTATTTATACAGTTAAATTTAAGTATACGAACTTACATGCCATTCTTGGGCTTATAGCATACATGAACACTGTCATAAAATAATAAAAGACTGCTATATGTTGAGCAAGAAAGCGATCGAACCACCAAGAATTTCCCCCCAATTCCTGCAATCAAATGCCTACACGATCAAGAAACTAAGCAACTGTAGTAAATCAAAATATTTCAGACTGTTTTGGAGCCTACATTAAATAGGTGGCTGGGGTAAACTAAGTAAAGATATCTACCAAAACCCTATTAGTTATATGTGTTTGCAAGTTAGTAAGAAGATGGTCATTTAAAATGGCCTCCATCATGTTTCTCATTGGCAATGTCCACTTTCCTCCTCAACTATTAGTTATATGTGTTTGCAAGTTAGTAAGAAGATGGTTATTTAAAATGGCCTCCATTACGTTTCTCATTGGCAATGTCCACTTTCCTCCTCAACCTCAATCTTTTTACACTTGCCTTTACTTCACCGATGTTATGCTTCCTTTAGTTGGGTTTGGGAAACTTCACCCAACATATGTATCATGGATAGAGAACTGGATACGGCAAACAGAATGTGGATTTTGGAGAAAACCACAGGCTGCCTGCCATAAGTAACAGTGCAAGCCTCTTAAAATGAACTGTCTGACTTAAAAAATTACATTAACGTATATAAACCTAAAAAAGTTAGGAATAATCATTTAAAAATCTTACTTCCATGATAAGCAAGTGATGCATCTCATTCCAGCTCTCAGCAAAATGGACTTTCAAATAATCCGCTTGTCTCCACCAACCAAAACTCTCATACAAATGCAGAACCGAGATAAAAGCTGCCATAAAAACAATAAATTGCCATCAAATCAAAACTAATCGCAATACAAGTACACAACCACCATCAAAAGTCCTTTAGCTACTCAGTAGACAAAAAGATGAACCCGCAAGGTTTCACAAACACGCTAATTTCCCCTAATCAAGTACAATACATAATTGGAGAAGCTAATTCGAACAAATCCTTAAATCAACAAATTAGCACTACGTAGTAAAATTAAAGCATCAACACTCACCAAAATAAGGAACTCTTGCAATAGTTTCCAATACAAAGAACCTAGCATAATCTCTTTCATGGTACACAGTATCAAGAATTTTTATCACCGAATCCTGAAATGATTAAGAGAGTTCATAATCAAACACCAAACGCCTCAATAAGCCGTAAAAAGAAAAATAAGAGAAATTATAATATACCGTAAGAAAAATATTGATAGATTGTTCAAACTTCACAATCCATGACAAATCCTCAGCAGACTTCCCGCGGCTTTCTTTCTCCGCAATCTCAGGGAAACTTTTCGGTTGAAACGACTCCTCTACAACAACTTTCTCTTCTTCATCTTGCAGAACTGTCGCCTGAACTCGATACAACGTTCTAAATGGAGACAAATTCGAATACGAATTAAATTCAAGTTTGACAGATAGGGAGAGAATACCAATTCGTGGAACTAAAATTAAAAGCAAACCTGGAGAGAGATCGAGGCGAAGAAAGGAGATTGAAACGCAAAGTACTATTAGAGTTTAAAGAAGCTAAGCTTTTACAATTTCTCAGCTTTAGAGACGAGGCTGTTGCTGTCGTGGCAGAAACTGTTAAAGAGAGAGTTGCCGACATTTTTCTCTTCAATGGAAGAAACCGAGCTTTAACATATAAAGCGAAAAATTGGTTGAAATGAAACGATAGTGAGAATTAGTAAAAGAGATTCTCAGGCGAAGACTTTGTCGCTATTCAGTTTGGCGGATTGGGTGGGCGGATAATCTTCGTTTCTGTCCACTGGAAGTTCGACAAATATCTAACCCGTAAGCCCGACCGAATGGCCGGCAGGCCGGGTCGGTCAGATAGATCTTGGATAGTTCAGTTTTTATCCGGATTAAATTAGTGTGAAACTGTGACCCAAACTTTCAATATTTATACAAAGAGTAAACGACTTTTTCCTACTCAAATAATGGGTCAAATGACACTTTCTCACCCACAAACTTTTAAAATACTACTTTATTACTCAAATTAATATTTCATTTTCGATTTTGGTATTATTGCGACCCCACACCACCACCATTCTCTTCCCCGATCATCACTCATCGAAACTCCTCAAATCCTATTCCCGTCAACTCTACCAATCGCCGGCACTCGAGTGATTAGGGTTTGTGCAGTTATCCATCCTAAGTCAAATTACAATTAATCATAATCACCAAAATCTAATCTTTCACCGTTAAAAGATTCATCGATCTTCCCCCTTCAAAAACCCTAACAGCTTAGACCAAATTTATTCTTTGTTCGTCGTTGGAATATAAACTTTGATAATAAAATGGTATTTTGAAAATCTATAGTTAGAAATGTGTCGTTAAACTATTATTTAAGTGAGAAAAGTCGGTAACCCTTATACAAATTTTGAATATTAATAAATATCAGTTTGTACCAATTAAAAAGCTTTTACTGGAAATACGATATACTTTGTTTGGTCAAATTACTGAATGTTGATGCCATCAATAAGACGTGTATACAACTTTACATTACCTAATTATAAAATGTGAGATATGCCGGCAAGCTGTCAATGAAGCACCACTTAATTGGTCAAAGTGTACCTAAATATAACACATACTGTCTTTTTACTAGGGAGAATCACAATTTCCCACCCAAAGTAAGGTGTCTTCTCACCTGGAACGTTTCAAAAAAATAATTTCCCAATTCCCACCCATTGTTAAAATTCAAATGTTAATTTTAACGGTAAAAGGGGATTCTTGTCCGCTTGCACAACATATATATGTATTATTGGGCTAATATTACTTACACCCCTAAATTACAAACACTTAAAAATTACCTTCACCAACTTGGGAATTAGCCATTTAAACCCCTATCTACAATTTCATTTTATTTTATTTAACTTTTAAAAAAAAAATTGTGAAGAATAAAAAACTGGCCAGTGTGGACGTCGACCAACCGCCGTCGGTAGGATCTGGGTCCAATCTATGGTGGTGATTCTGGCCACACCACTGGTGCCATTGGATAGATCGTCTAGCGATCTATTCAACGGTGCAAAAGAAGAGTCCCTTGGTGAAGCCGTTCTTTGACAATTGTCATCAAGAGGATCTAGGTTCAGTCGCCAACGATGAGTTTGGCATCACCAATGTTGCCGCCAAATAAGATTAGTCGCGGATCTATCCAACGATGTAAATGAGGAGTCCCTTGGAGAAGCCTTATTATAATCACAACTGCCCATTCTGCTTCATTTAAATGTGTCTTACAGAATGCTAAAGCTTAACTTGACGAAGATGCAAGTTACACGCCACTGGTATATAGGGCATGCAGCTTAGTTTGCGAATACTATGATTGGCCACAAAGGGAACATAGATCAAGATTTTCGCCCTGGATGAAGTCCCCAATTAAATTTTCTCTTCTCTATTTCCTCTACTTCTATGACATGCTGAAAGCACGCCCTTAGATTGTCAGCAGTTTCTTTAAAGCAATAGGCTACATATGAGCTCCACATTCCTCAAATCTTAAATCATGTTTAACGAAATCAGTGCACAAGTACCTTGCAGTCATCACTACCAGTACAAGCATAGAAGGTTCAGTACATGAAAAACAACACTCCAAGCCCGTTTCTCATGCTCCTCATATTCCATCACACTCTGAAAGGAAAAAGCATAATTCATATAGAAAATAAACCAGAAATAATGGAAAGATGACTTTCATGATAATAAACACAAGTTTAATCGAACTGCATGAGCATGTGGCCTACTGAAGCTAAAGAAAGATATAGCTAAAACTATACGAAGTCATTACATCCAAACAGTTACTATCCCCTCATAATCACTGCTTGCAATGTGATTTTTCGACAATTGCTCCAACTCAAGCAACTAAGTTTAGCTCGAGTGGGCATTTCGTAATGGGATATGCACATCTGTTGGTTCATTAAACACTGTAGCAATGAAATAAGCAGGTATTGAATAATCAATAAACAGTAATCACAAAAGCATACAACATGAGTCAAAATAATTTATTGACGGTGCCCCATATGCATAGCAATCTCAAGCAGAAGCAAGAAATTTTCATCTTAAGCAGTAAGATTGTAAAGTACTGTTAGGTTAGAGTTTGATATACAAATGCTAAATAGTCACCAAGCAGTACCCCAACCCATCACAGAGATGTCATGATTCATGCTAGCTATACAAATAATAGAAAAGCTTTTTCCCACAGGCAATTCTACATACTTATACAAATTGATATCATCAATTCCACCTGTCCCTGCACCAAATCAGACTATCATGTCCGAAACTTACTGAGGAAAATTCAAAAATCTTAATGCGCCTTGAAACTCGGCAGTAGCATACAATTCATTATCACGATCAAATTTATACTGCAAAATAAATTAAAAGAATCAGAGAACTGTATAGTAGCTGTTATAATTTACAATGAACAAGAAGAGGCTGGCAGATTTTTCCAAAGAAAGAAGTTCAATTACAATCATTTCGACAGAAGTTTTTTCAAGAAGTATAAGAGTTAAGCAGTTGGAAGTAATCATTTCTTAAACACTTGTATATACGAAACATAAAGCAACAGTTGTACTAACAAAATAGTACAACTTATAGCCAGAGCAATTGAGCAAGTCTAACTAAAAGATAGATGCCAGAAAACATTTTCAGAACTATAAATAATAGTTAACTGAAATTGTATAATATGATTACATTTTGACTCACCTCGAGACAATATTTGCAGCGTGGAAAAGGTCCCCCTGCCTTGGTTCAGCAATGCCCTCAATCGATAATTTGAAGTTTTGAACAACAAAACAGAATATATAAGTGACTAAAGCAGAGTTAATGGAAATATCATAGAACAGACAATAACACACATAAAAGGTGTTACTATAAGTTTTTCTTGAACAAAACTGAATATGAAAACCAATCATACTGGAGAAATCATTCACCTGTACTGAGTAAAATTAGTTAGACAGATTGGAAATCCTTAGAGCAGGATTATAGCCTTCTTTTATTATTGCGCTATGTCCCTTCCTCCTGTTATGTGATTGTCTGGCCCAATGCCGCCGTTTTTGTAAGTAATACTCTTGCAAGTCATTGAACTGTATCAAAATAGAATACCAAGAACCTTTTGGTCAAAAGGAAATAAATAATTTAGTTGTAAAAAGTTGTGATTTGACAGCACATTAATTTGACCAAGGATCTAACACCAAAATTTTTGGGCAACTTCGCCAAAAGAAAAATCAAAACTCTTTGAATTTTCAAGATAAAATAACTGAGCTTGGACTCGCCTTTTCTTGCAGTAGGCAGTCCGAGGTGAGTAACATGTGTGTACCAGACACACCGCAAACATCCCTAATTTGGACACCTTGAGAGCTTCTTGAGCCATCTCATCAGTATTCTTCTGTGAATTGTGTGAATTGGATGAAACTAGCCACCTTGTACATTGTGGGCCTTAGAGCTAATGCCTTTGCTATTTTATCGATCTGTAAAGGTCCTGGTTTTGCTGCACTGAACATCATCAGAGTCCTTCGTTTTAGTAAGCATCCTCTCTAGCCATGTGTAATTCCTTTCTATGTCTCTACAGCATGTATGTCTCCTTAATGTCTGAAGATCAGTTTGAATCTACAAAAGATGAAATAGACCAAGAAACCAAAAAATAAAATCAAATGAGCTTAAACAAAACTAATGTCAAGCCTACAGAAGATCTTCAATAAGAGAATATAAGCACAGATAATAATTACAATAGAAAACATAACAGACTCCTCATAAATCAATTTAAGTTCAAATTTGAAGTTCTAAATAGTTGATAGCAAATTCACTAAGAATATTTTGTTTCTAAACTGCCTTCAATTATGTTGATTCTAAAAAAACTACTAATCTAATCCACATAAATATTAAAGTTAACCTCATTGAGCTTCAAGTTTTGCTTCCGCAGAATACAAATTCATGTAGAATTGCATGTTGGTGGGCTCTTTTTGCTCATCTTTCTCTCTTCTCCTAAGTAAAGCCAATAGGCCATCTACCTCCTTAACTGACACCTCACAGCCTGTCTAAGAACAGAACAAGAATCACTACATTAAATGAATCAACCAACACACAACAAACTACAAGTCCTAACCACCACTGAGTGACCTGATGACAAAATAAAAAAAGAGATTCCTGAGTTTGAGTCTCCATGTGCTAATAGGGGTGACCATAGGAGAATTATCTCATCGGCTTTCAAGGCCCTAGGAGTAGTTGAGGCACGCAAGCTGGCCCGGACACCCGGTGATCACCCAAAAAAAAAAAAAAAAACCTTACAAGTTCACATGAACACAAACATAGACACATACATCTAAACTATTATACATTAACTAACTAAAATCTAATTGCATTTGTGCTATAATAACTGACCTGTTGTAATGCTTGATGTAGATGTGAATGGTGAACAGACTTCGCTACTTGAGCAGACGTTCTCTTCAATAACTAAAACATCCATTTCAAAATTAAATTGAAATTCAATGCATTAGATACAACAAAATACTTATTTGTCAGCTAGCGGAAGAAATCTGCTAAATACAAATGTTTTTACACGACTCCTCGTGCCAAGAGACAACCGGAAAAAATTTCAGAAAATATCATGAGAATAAGTAAAATTATAGTAGAAATGATATGAAAATGGCGAGCACTAACCTTATTGAGCAATAAATTAGGGAAAATATGTTTGGTAGTTAGAAATAACCGCAACAAGGACAGTCATTTTTGTTCTAACTGAGTGAAAATAACATGTAACAGAAACTATGTCCACAAGCAGTCAAGAACGCGTCCTTTATAATTCCATGCATATCGGAACAAGGTATCCTGTTGGTCTCCGTCTCCGCTCTTCCTCCGCCGCCATCAGCATCGGTTGTGACGGCGCGTCCGCCGTTGACGGAGGCTGTTGTTCCGATTTCACAGCTGGAACTAGAAAGCCAACCATTGAGGACTCCACCATTCAGAAGCTTAATATAAATTTATTAAAAAAAAAAATTCTTTCTTTTTAAATTATTTTAGTCGGTTTCCTGCAAAGGAGAGAAAAGTGAAGGAATGAAGATGATGCTGAGTTTGTGTACAGAGAGGTTTGGTTGGTTTGGTTTTATAACAACAACAGAGAATTGGTTCGTTGACAGAAAGAGAGAGAGAGAGAGGTTTTATGAGGGTGAAAACGGCCCACGTTAGGCGGGAATTTTCATCGAATCGTTTCTTTAAGTTAAGCATGTCGTACCGGCGTTAAATCCATTTTCCCCCTTCCTTTCTATTTGACTTTGTTAATGACAACTTGTGGAATTTTAACAATTGACGGCAATAAAAAACGGAAAAATTCTCTGCTCTTGGATTTGAACACTAAACTTGGATGATCCTTTATCAGCTAGTATAATTGTATAAGATTATAAATGGATTTTTTTTTTTTTTTAATCAAAAACCGTTTAACATATATGATTAATTTCAATCCTGGAGAATTAGTATCAAATCCATCGACAATATTCTCCACTTAAATCTAACAATCTTTAGTTATTGGAAGACATTAGCACAACAACCTACTCTACAATCTCCCTCACTTAAATCCTTAGAAAGAGATTAACGAGTAACTTGAATCCACCATTACAATCCTCACTTAAATTGTGAATGCTCATAGAGATGACAATAGATCTGATATTTTCAAGTACTCGGCCTGAAAAGATCGGCTTTATCCGATGTTCCTGGGCTTGGGTTAGGCCTGATTTTAAGGCCCGACCTGGTGTGGGCTGATCCTGGGTATGTCTTCAAGCCCGTCCCAGCCCAACAATTTAGTTTATTATACTAAATTACCCTTATACTATATTTAATTACAAGATTACCTAATTATATAACTCATTTTTTAAAACCCTATATGGATGGATGGATGCACTTTGTAGAAAGTTATTTATATTTTGGTGAGTATTCAAAAATAAATTAATATTTAAAAATTGTTCCAGAATTAAAATATAAATTTTTTTTTAAATTTATTAATATTTAAAATTCACATTATAAAAATTGACGGCTTGAGTCGAGCCTGAGGTTACAAAAAGCCTGTTAACTAGGCTTGGGCTTTACTTGTCATACCCGTGACAAACCCGAGTTAGGTTTGGGCCTTAACTGGTCATACCCGTGACAGGCTCGGATCAGACTTAGGCCATTGGATGAGATTAGGTTTGGGCTTGGATCAAGGAATATTTGATCCCGACTTAGTTTATTTTCATCACTAAATATTCATACGAGGAATCAAATCTAAGATCGGGTATCTATCTTACTATTTTCAATTCTCCCACACTATCTTAATTGGGTGTTCAAAAGAACCGGTTGGAACTGGAACGACGAGATACCCTGGGTTTGGTTTCGGTTCCTACCCAAAACCAGTCGTCAATGGATAGGTTTCGGTTCCAAATTTTTGAAACGTTACGTGCGGTTTTGGTTCTGGCCTATATTTAGGAACCGGAACCGGAACCAGGAACCGAAACTAAATAAAATAAAATTAAAGTTAGGGGAGTAATAAAAACTTTTGTAGAAAAAATAATGTGAATACATTTATTTATATTTCATAACATTTAAAGTAAGTTGGTTTGACTTTGAGAATCTATCTTACAAAGTAATAGAGTTTGTAATTTTGAATTATATATTTGTAATTTATTTTTGTTAACAAGTACCAGTGGGGGGTATTTGTAAGTTTTTAAAGGTTTTTTTGTCATTTTAAACTTTTGAGGGATCAGAATTTTACAGAAACCAGAACCGGAACCGTTGTTACGGTTCTGGGTTGGGTACCTAGGAATCAGAACCGACGGTCGATTCTAGTTCCAAATTTCAGGAACCATCAATTCTGGTTTCGATTGATTCCTTAAAAAAGTACAGAATACCCAGAACTAAACACCATCTAATTACCCACCACCGCCACGGGTAAACATGACTCACATGAGAGGCGAGAAATTCATGGCTGCCAGCTTCATTTAACAGCAGTTGGCATAATGAGTTTGGTCTGCTCTTGCAAACCGGCATAACTATCAGAACGCACCTCGTTTTGTAGTTTGATTGCTGTCTTATGACGACGAAAGGAAGCATTAAATTGCTGTCGCTAGATTATTTAACATTATCAGGGCTAATCTGACCAAAATATCTCTTAACCATGTGGAGGTCAGCAAGAAAGCTTTAATTGAAGCACGAATAGTGGTACCACAATGCTAGAATAGTAGGATTCTAGCCGATACCTCTACCTCTTACGTATTTCCTTCCTTGTATCTCTATTATTTGTGTGTGTATATTGACCACGTAAGGGAAAATACCCAATTAGTTATTTGGTTTTTTTCTTTTTATATATTATTTATGAACCGTTTGTGCTTTGTCGATCTTAACACCGTTATATGGTTCATATATAAAACTTGATTATCAGTTTAATTTAAGGCTAATATGCCATACATGACACGATTCAATTCATATATAAACTTGACAAAAGTGGGATATGAGGAATAAATGAAAGATTATAATCAGTCATAAATACATTTAGAAAACAGAAATACCGAAAGGGAGAGAGAGTGCTTATCTTATCATATTCGAATCTCGAAAAATAGATGGGTCTCTATTTAGTAAAATGTTTCTGGATATAATTACGAAGCTACTGCGGCAGAGAACGTACAATTCCTACCCTGTTTCCTTTGGCCGATTGCACGGAAGATATTCTTAAATGCGCAAGGTTTGGACAGGTGGAGAACTCCCAGCACTCACATACCAGGCCTTTACTTGTTAAGCTAATAACAATCTTACTTCTTCTGTCCTTGGACGACATGACAGCACCTGAACGATACAATGACTTCCTAAACTTTGATTGGTCCTCACTGACACACGCCTATGTCAGCCCTGATTTTTTGGGCATAACATATTTGATCCACATCAAGGGAAAATACCCAAATTTGGGGGTTTTTTTTTTAAAAAAAAAAATCTGTCCATTGGTTAGTTAATTTTTTTTTTTTTATATATATTATTTATCAACCGTTGTCTTTGCGATCTTAACACCGTTATATTGGTTCATATATAAAATTGATTATCAGTTAATTTAAGGCTAATAACTTAATAAGAGGCCATACATGACACGACATGTCAATTCATATAAACTTGACAAAATGGGATTTTTGAGGAACAAATTACAAGTTACAATTGATAAGTTCAACCACATTCAAAGGAGTTGGTTGCTTCAATAATTATAATTAACCTCAATGTGATGTGAGAAGAAAAAATTACCAAGGACAGAGTATACATCACCCAAAATATTGTCTCTCATCGCCGTGGACCCAAATCACTGATGTACGGCGAGACCCCCACGGTATAAATGTTGGTGACGGTGTACCTGTAGCAATCAAGCAGAACATACTGGAAGCCGCTGTGAAAATAATGAGCTTGTTAATAATGAGGGACCATAAGAAAGAAAATTCAAAGTAATCTCCTTCTCATGATTTTCAACAGCCTGCATTTATTGATTGTCAATATACATAATACATTAGATCTATACTGTTTCTTTCTACATATACAACTACCATATTGGTAATTTCAAGTGAAATTTCATTCTTTTTTCTCTAAACTGTTTAAGTCGCTTCGATGGAGGAGATGCAACAGAGTTCTATATACAATCTACAATTCCTCAAATCGGCTCCAGAAATGACTCAACCAGACTCATCTTCCGAGTCATCCTCCAGATAAGAATGAGGGGACCGAAGGTTTCCAGGTGTCTGACAAGCCTTCATTGTTTACAATGTTCGGCTTCATCATCTCTGATATTCACAAAACAGTCGTACAAATTCTCTGAAAACAAAAAAATAAATCAGAAAGAGCCGCCGAATTTCTGTTAATATCAATTACTATTATCATCCTTCTTAAAAATAATGAATTCTTGTAGCTATACAAGGAAAGAATCATTAAGATGTCTAAGTCAAATTTACACAAATAAAACATCATATATCCCTACCTATAGTATAATGTAGAAATTGAAAGCTACTTCCTAACATTACATAAAAAATTCAGATTCTGTACTTTACCTATTTTGGTCTTCGAGTATTGGGGATTCGTCAGTTTGAAATTATCTGGACAGAATGTGAAGGACATGTTAAAACTAGATCTCACTTTAAATGACAGAGCTATAGATTGTAAAAAGACCAGACTTACCAAACAAATACAAATCACCTCCAATAGTATTAACAGCAACCTCTGGTGCAGGCATCCCTTTCAACTCCTCTTTAAAGAGAAGAAACAGACCAAATCATATTATATAGATATAATACCATGCTATAGTATATAAAGATAATTTATCCTCTATTCATACTGCAAGATGTTTGCCAAAGAAACTCTCAATGCCAAAGACCAAGAGTCCAATTGCAATGGGGGGCCTCCAAGTGCAAAATGTGAAAATACTAATCATGAGGTTATAAGGTAGAATAATGGGGTCTTTTAGTGCTTTTACCCTAATGTCAACAAGCAAGACATGCACAATGAAACTTAACTGAACTTACAAATACGTTAAAACTCTTTACCTCCTCGGGCCTTGAGAAATTTGTCATAAGTTTCAAAGGCATGGTTCTCCACGCATTCAGAAAAGTGATCTGCAGAAGTGATAACAACCAAATTATTTAAATTCTGTATTGTGAGATGGTACAATTGTGAAAGCTTATTCTTAAATCACTTCCTACAACAATACTTTGTAGTATTTGTGTGCATTGTCCAAGTAATCTCAGAGTGATAATAGGGAATAAATAAGTGAAGAACCTTTTTTCTAGGCCAAAAAAAATAAAACTCGCATAAATTTGTCTACTTGATTCAACATAATGGCTCCAAATAGAACAAAAGTTCTTACAACCATTCAGAAAACAAACCAGCAGGACAATGATGTATGAAAATAAATTCTGGGAATATGTATTTATATAGTTAATTTAAGTACACGAACTTACATGCCATTCTTGGGCTTAGCATACATGAACACTGTCATAAAATAATAAAAGACTGCTATATGCTGAGCAAGAAAGCGATGAACCACCAAGAATCTCCCCCAATTCCTGCAATCAAATGCCTACACGATCAAGAAACTAAGCAACTGTAGTAATCAAATATTCAGACTGTTTTGGAGCCTACATTAAATAGGTGGCTGGGGTAAAAAATTAAAGATATCTAGCAAAACCCTTTAGTTATTGTGTTTGCAAGTTAGTAAGAAGATGGTCATTTAAAATGGCCTCCATCATGTTTCTCATTGGCAATGTCACTTTCCTCCTCAACCTAATTTTTTTACACTTGCCTTACTTCACCGATGTTATGTCCCTTAGCTGGGTTTGGGAAACTTCACCAACATATGATCATGGATAGAGAACTGGATACGGCAAACAGAATGTGGATTTTGGAGAAAAAACACAGGCTGCCTGCCATAAGTAACAGTGCAAGGCTCTTAAAATGAACTGTCTGAATTAAAAAACTACATTAAGTATATAAACCTAAAAAAGTAGGATATTTATTAAAAATCTACTTCCATGATAAGCAAGTTGGCATCTCATTCAGCTCAGCAAAATGGACTTTCAAATATCCGCTTGTCTCCCCAAGTAGTTGTTATCAGTATTACGTTTTGGTTGAAATTCAAAGATGCTGGACAAATTGAATACAGACTGTCCTTGACTTTACAGCAAAACAAACACAAGACAAGACTCCTTTTTCATCGCCTTTGAAGAAATCACATGCTATTGTTACTTAATTTGAGTTTGAATTTTCTACCTCCCGTCTTTGTTTGGTATAAGAAAGGGATGGAAAGTTGGAAACTTGCATTTGTCAACCCAAATCAGCCACTATAAACACAAATACAAAAGGCTTGAGAATGACATAAATCATAAATTTCTCCTCACTTAACTGCTTTGATTTCAGAAAGAATAAGTTACACGTGATTTTCTTTACGCGTTTTCTATGCTATTCCATATCTAGAAACAGGGGGTGCTCAAGAAAAAGACAAAAACTGACCTTCGATTTCGATTAATTACCGGTTTGAGAGAAAATACAAACCGATTTTACTAACCGGTTTACAATATTATAATAATATATTATATATTAGATTAAAATATATAAAAAATCCCTAAACCTAAATCCTTATTACATATGTATAAATGTTTAATTTTTATTTAAATATGTATTGTTAATGTTTGCAATTTAAATCAAGAAAAATTAAAAAAAATAATAATAATTTAAGCCTTAAGGGGAAAACGGTTCAAAACCGGTTTTCCCCTAAACTAGTTCGATTTCAATTCAAAAAAATTTATAAACCGAAAAACCGATTTGGTTCAAGAAAACGGTTAATCGGTTTTGAACACCCCTATCTAGAAGTTATTTTGTGACCAAAACAGCTTGAAAAATTGTAAGCAACCTAACATAACATTCATAAAATTAATAGAGGGTTTTCTAAATCTATACTTTTACGATTATATAATGATAAAGACGCCATAATATAGAGGCTTGAGAACTACATTGTTGATACATAGTAAATATTCGGTACTGAGAAGTGAACCTGAGAACTTTCCTAACCAACCAATTTCACATTTAATCGCATATACAAATTTACTATCTTGATCGTAAACTAATTTTAATTGATTTTGATTTTGATTTTACCGTTTAGGCTGCGAGTACAAGTACTTTTATTGTTCCTTTACTGTTTGCAGTCAACATTGTTGGGCTATCACTCTTCCAGCAAATTGCACTGATGAAATATGGTGCCACATTGTTATCAGCATCTTCTATATCAGAACTAAATCTGTAGGAAGCTGCAGGTTTGGAGACCGCCTGCAAAAGTACCGGCACAACTAAATTACTTCAAAGATTTGATGGAAAAATAACTGATCACTAGAATGATTCCTGACCTTATGATACACAAACACTTCATTTGTTTCACTACCACAGGCTATGTATTCACTGTTTACTGAGAGACCCACAAAATTCCTGTCATTGGTGTGGCCTCTAAAAGTGCGTATCTGAGAAAATAACAAAACATAAAAACATTGGTAATTTGTATTTCAGGAACTAGTATCTTAGAATATAGTATTTAATGCTATAAAAAGAACAGGCATATGTAGAGCTACTGATCGATGTATATGATAATGCAACTAACGATCAGTGTTACTTGAAGAACAATGAAATATCACAATGATAAAAAGCCTGAACTGGAAGAAATTGCTGAAGGCACAATAACTTACTGGAGAATTTTCCCTTACATCCCACAAGCGCAATGTGCTGTCAGTAGATGCAGAAGCCAGTTCATTTTCAGATAAAAATTTCACATATGAAACAGTTTTCTTGTGACCGCTGAACACAGAAAGTGGCTGGCTAATATTTCTCAAATCATAATAGTGAATATTGTGATCTGCGGAACCCACCTGCAAAAATTTTAAACTCCTTAATTATTTATTTTTTCCAAAATTAATAAATAAGTAAAGAAAGCCACTCGGTAAAGACTTGTCGGAATTAATTCACTTTTATCAATCATATACAGGTACAAGAAAAATACACACACTGCAGTTTACATCAGATTTTAAAAAATATTAAGCTTATATTCTTTCGGAAGAATGTCTACAGTAAGCTCTGGATAACAAATGTCAGTGCACATTTATACAAAAATCCAGTAGAAAAATTAAGAGAGACACACCGCTAAATGAATACTGGACCCTGGATTATACTTGACAGAACAAATATTTGCTTTCATATCAATGCTAAAAGCACTTGCTTCTTGCTTGGTGCACCAGATTTTAACCTGTCAAATAAACATGCACGAAGAAACCGTTTGAAAAATCAACTAACAATATCATTTGGAACCAGGTAAAACAAATTATGCCAGCAACTAAATGTCCACTCGACCGACTCATAACTATTGTGTAGAAGGGTAGAAGGACTCTAAATGAAATAGACAATTTATGCAGAGATCAGGCCAATTAATTAAACAAACACCTAGAAATTCTGAGAAATGCTCCACAATATTGAATCTCATGATAGTAGTCATAAAATCCTTAACTTTGTGAAATATGTAAAATTTAACAAAAGCGTTAAGGATTATTATAATCACAACTGCCCATTCTGCTTCATTTAAATGTGTCTTACAGAATGCTAAAGCTTAACTTGACGAAGATGCAAGTTACACGCCACTGGTATATAGGACATGCAGCTATAGTTTGCGAATACTATGATTGGCCACCAAAGGGAGACATAGATCAAGATTTTCGCCCTGGATGAAGTCCCCAATTAAATTTTCGTCTTCTCTACTTTCTATGACATGCTGAAAGCCACTCCCTTAGATTGTCAGCAGCTTTTTCTTTAAAGCAATAGGCTAACATGAGCTCCACATTCCTCAAATCTTAAATTCATGTTTAACAGGAAATCAGTTGCACAAGTACCTTGCAGTCATCACTACCAGATACAAGCATAGAAGGTTCAGTACATGAAAAATCAACACTCCAAGCCCGTTTCTCATGCTCCTCATATTCCATCACACTCTGAAAGGAAAAAAACATAATTCATATAGATAAATAAACCAGAAATAATGGAAAGATGACATTTCATGATAATAAACACAAGTTTAATCGAACTGCATGAGCATGTGGCCTACTGAAGCTAAAAGAAAGATATAGCTAATAACTATACCTGACTAGTCATTACATCCCAAACAGTTACTATCCCCTCATAATCACTGCTCGCAATGTGATTTTTCGTACAATTGCTCCAACTCAAGCAACTAAGTTTAGCTCGAGTGGGCATTTCCGTAATGGGATAATGCACATCTGTTGGTTCATTAAACATCTGTAGCAATGAAATAAGCAGGTATTGAATAATCAAATAACAGTAATCACAAAAGCATACAACATGAGTCAAAATAATTTATTGACGGTGCCCCATACTGCATAGCAATCTCAAGCAGGAAGCAAGAAATTTTCATCTTAAGCAGTAAGATTGTAAAGTACTAGTTAGGTTAGAGTTTGATATACAATATGCTCTAAATAGTCCACAAGCAGTACCCCAACCCATCACAGAGATGTCATGATTCATTGCTAGCTATACAAATAATAGAAAATCTTTTTCCCACAGGCAATTCTACATACTTATACAAATTGAAATCATCAATTCCACATGTCCCTGCACCAAATCAGACTATCATGTCCGAAACTTACTGAGGAAAATTCAAAAATCTTAATGCGCCTTGAAACTCCGGCAGTAGCATACAATTCATTATCACGATCAAATTCTATACTGCAAAAATAAATTAAAAGAATCAGAGAACTTGTATAGTAGCTGTTATAATTTACAATGAACATAGAAGAGGCTGGCAGATTTTTCCAAAGAAAGAAGTTCAATTACAATCATTTCGACCCAAGTTTTTTCAAGAAGTATAAGAGTTAAGCAGTTGGAAGTAATCATTTCATTAAACACTTGTCATATACAGAACATAAAGCAACAGTTGTACTAACAAAATAGTACAACTTATAGCCAGAGCAATTGAGCAAGTCTAACTAAAAGATAGATGCCAGAAAACATTTTCAGAACTATAAATAATAAGTTAACTGAAATTGTATAATATGATTACATTTTGACTCACCTCGAGACAATATTTGCAGCATGGAAAAGGTCCCCCTGCCTTGGTTCAGCAATGACCCTCAATCGACTAATTTGAAGTTTTGAACAACAAACAGAATATATAAGTGACTAAAGCAGAGTTAATTGGAAATATCATAGAACAGACAATAAACACACATAAAAGGTGTTACTCATAAGTTTTTCTTGAACAAAACTGAAATATGAAAACCAAAATCATTACTGGAGAAATCATTCACCTGTACTGAGTAAAATTAGTTAGCACAGATTGGAAATCCTTAAGAGCAGGATTATAGCCTTCTTTATTTATTGCGCTATTGTCCCTTCCTCCCTGTTTATGTGATTGTCTGGCCCAATGCCGCCGTTTTTGTAAGTAATACTCTTGCAAGTCATTGAACTGTATCAAAATAGAATACCAAGAACCATTTTGGTCAAAAGGAAATAAATAATTTAGTTGTAAAAAGTTGTGATTTGACAGCACATTAATTTGACCATGGATCTAACACCAAAATTTTTAGGGCAACTTCGCCAAAAGAAAAATCAAAACTCTTTGAATTTTCAAGATAAAATACCTGAGCTTGGACTCGCCTTTTTCTTGCAGTAGGCAGTCCGAGTTGAGTAACATGTTGTGAACCAGACACACCGCAAACATCCCTAATTTGGACACCTTGAGAGCTTACTTGAGCCATCTCATCAGTATTCTTCTGTGAATTGTGTGAATTGGATGAAACTAGCCACCCTTGTACATTGTGGGCCTTAGAGCTAATGCCTTTGCTATTTTTATCGATCTGTAAAGGTCCTGGTTTTGGTGCACTGACATCATCAAGAGTCCTTCGTTTTAGTAAGCATCTCTCTCTAGCCATGTGTAATTCCTTTCTATGTTTCTCTACAGCATGTATGTCCTCCTTAATGCTCTGAAGATCAGTTTGAATCTACAAAAGATGAAATAGACCAAGAAACCAAAAAATAAAATCAAATGAGCTTAAACAAAAACTCAATTGTCAAGCCTAACAGAAGATCTTCAATAAGAGAATATAAGCACAGATAATAATTACAATAGAAAACATAACAAGACTCCTCATAAATCAATTTAAGTTCAAATTTGAAGTTCTAAATAGTTCTGATAGCAAAATTCACTAAGAATATTTTTGTTTCTAAACTGCCTTCAACATTATGTTGATTCTAAAAAAACTACTAATCTAATCCACATAAATATTAAAGTTAACCTCATTGAGCTCTTCAAGCTTTTGCTTCCGCAGAAAATACAAAAATTCATGTAGAATTTGCATGTTGGTCTGGGCTTCTTTTTGCTCCATCTTTCTCTTCTTCTCCTCAAGTAAAGCCAATAGGCCATCTACCTCCTTAACTGACACCTCACAGCCCTGTCTAAGAATCAGAACAAAGAATCACTACATTAAATGAATCAACCAATCACACCAACAACTTACAAGTCCTAACCACCACTGAGTGACCTGATGACAAAATAAAAAAAGAGATTTCTGAGTTTGAGTCTCCCATGTGCTAATAGGGGTGACCATAGGAGAATTATCTCATCGGACTTTCAAGGCCCTAGGAGTAGTTGAGGCACGCAAGCTGGCCCGGACACCCGGTGATCAACCCAAAAAAAAAAAAAAAAAACCTTACAAGTTCACATGAACACAAACATTAGACACATACATCTAAACTATTATCCACATTAACTAACTAAAATCTAATTGCATTTTTGCCTATAATAACTGACCTGTTGTAATGCTTGATGTAGATGTTGAACTGGTGATACAGACTTCGCTACTTGAGCAGCAGACGTTCTCTTCAATAACTAAAACATCCATTTCAAAATTAAATTGAAATTCAATGCATTAGATACAACAAAATACTTATTTGTCAGCTAGCGGAAGAAATCTGCTAAAATACAAATGTTTTTACACGACTCCTCGTGCCAAGAGACTAACCGGAAAAAATTTCAGAAAAATATCATGAGAATAAGTAAAATTATAGTAGAAATGATATGAAAATGGCGAGCAACTAACCTTATTGAGCAATAAATTAGGGAAAATATGTTTGGTAGTTAAGAAATAACCGCAACAAGGACAGTCATTTTTGTTTCTCAACTGAGTGAAAATACACATGTAACAGAAACTATGTCCACAAGCAGTCAAGAACGCGTCCTTTATAATCTCCATGCATATCGGACACAAGGTATCCTTGTTGGTCTCCGTCTCCGCCTCTTCCTCCGCCGCCATCAGCATCGGTTGTGACGGCGCGTCCGCCGTTGACGGAGGCTGTTGTTCCGATTTCACAGCTGGAACTAGAAAGCCAACCATTGAGGACTCCACCATTCAGAAGCTTAATATAAATTTTATTTTTAAAAAAAAAAATTCTTTTGTTTTTAAATTATTTTAGTCGGTTTTCCTGCAAAGGAGAAGAAAAGTGAAGGAATGAAGATGATGCTGAGTTTGTGTACAGAGAGGTTTGGTTTGGTTTTATCTACACTAGGGGTGTTAAAAAAAAAAAAAGACAAAAACCGAACTTCAATTTCGATTAATTACCGGTTTGAGAGAAAATACAAACCGATTTTACTAACCGGTTTACAATATTATAATGATATATTATATATTAAAATCAAATATATAAAAATCCCTAAACCTAAATCCTTTACATATGTATAAATGTTTAATTTTATTTGATATGTATTGTTGATGTTTCTAATTTAAATCAAGAAATTAAAAAAAAAAAAAAATTAGTTTAAGCCTTAAGGGGAAAACGTTAAAACCGTTTTTCCCTAAACAGTTCGGTTTCAATTCAAAAAAATTTCTAAACGCAAACCGTGTTCAAGAAAACGGTTAATCGGTTTTGAACACCCTATCTAGAATTATTTTGTGACCACGGAAACGGAAACGCTTGAAAATTTAAGCAACCTAACATAACATTCATAAAATTAGAGAGGTTTTTCTAAATCTTACTTTTTCGATTATATAATGATAAAGTTAGACGCCATAATAAGAGCTTGAGAACTACATTGTTGATACGTTAAATATCGGTACTGAGAAGTGAACCTGAGAACTTTCCTAACCAACCAATTTCAAATTTAATGCATATACAATTTACTATCTTGATCGTAACAATTTTAATTGATTTTGATTTTGATTTTACCGTTTAGGCTGCGAGTACAAGTACTTTTATTGTTCCTTTACTGTTTGCAGTCAACATTGTTGGGCTATCACTCTTCCAGCAAACTGCACGATGAAATACGGTGCCACATTGTTATCAGCATCTTCTATATCAGAACTAAATCTGTAGGAAGCTGCAGGTTTGGAGACCGCCTGCAAAAGTACCGGCACAACTAAATTACTCTAAGATTTGATGGAAAATAACTGATCACTAGATGATTCCTGACCTTGTGATACACAAACACTTCATTTGTTTCACTACCACAGGCTATGTATTCACTGTTTACTGAGAACCCACAAAATTCCTCCATTGGTGTGGCCTCTAAATGTGCGTATCTGAGAAAATAACAAAACATAAAACATTGGTAATTTGTATTTCAGGAACTAGTATCTAGATATAGTATTTAATGCTATAAAAGAACAGGCATATGTAGCTTGATCGATGTATTGATATGCAACTAACGATCAGTGTTACTTGAGACAATGAAATATCACAATGATAAAAAGCCTGAACTGGAAGAAATTGCTGAAGGCACAATAACTTACTGGAGAATTTTCCCTTACATCCCACAACGCAATGTGCTGTCGTAGATGCAAAGCCAGTTCATTTTCAGATAAAAATTTCACATATGAACAGTTTTCTTGTGACCGCTGAACACAGAAAGTGCTGGCTAATATTTCTCAAATCATAATAGTATATTGTGATCTGCGGAACCCACCTGCAAAAATTTTAAACTCCTTAATTATTTATTTTTCCAAAATTAATATAAGTAAGAAACCACTCGGTAAAGACTTGTCGAATTAATTCACTTTTAATCATTAGGTACAGAAAAATACACACACTGCAGTTTACATCAGATTTTAAAATATTAAGCTTATATTCTTTCGGAAGAATGTCTACAGAAGCTCTGGATAACAAATGTCATGCACATTTATACAAAATCCAGTAGAAAAATTAAGAGAGACACACGCTAAATGAATACTGGACCCTGATTATACTTGACAGAACAAATATTTGCTTTCATATCAATGCTAAAGCACTTGCTTCTTGCTTGGTGCACCAGATTTTAACCTGTCAAATAACATGACGAAGAAACCGTTTGAAAAATCAACTAACAATATCATTTGGAACCAGGTAACAAATTATGCCAGCAACTAAATGTCCACTCGACCCGACTCATACTATTGTTAGAAGGGTAGAAGGACCTAAATGAAATAGACAATTTAGCAGGATCAGGCCAATTAATTAACAAACACCTAGAAATTCTGAGAAATGCTCCACAATATTGAATCTCATGTAGTAGTCATAAAATCCTTAACTTTTGAAATATGTAAAATTTAACAAAAGCGTTAAGGATTATTATAATCACAACTGCCCATTCTGCTTCATTTAAATGTGTCTTACAGAATGCTAAGCTTACTTGACGAAGATGCAAGTTACACGCCACTGGTATATAGGACATGCAGCTATAGTTTGCGAATACTATGATTGGCCACCAAAGGGAGACATAGATCAAGATTTTCGCCCTGGATGAAGTCCCCAATTAAATTTTCGTCTTCTCTACTTTCTATGACATGCTGAAAGCCACCCTTAGATTGTCAGCAGCTTTTCTTTAAAGCAATAGGCTAATGACTCACACTTCCTCAAATCTTAAATTCATGTTTACAGGAAATCAGTTGCACAAGTCCTTGCAGTCTCACTACCAGATCACAGCATAGAAGGTTCAGTACATGAAAAATCAACACTCCGCCCGTTTCTCATGCTCCTCATATTCCATCACACTCTGAAAGGAAAAAAACATAATTCATATAGATAATAAACCAAAATAATGGAAAGATGACATTTCATGATAATAACACCAAGTTTAATCGAACTGCATGAGCATGTGGCCTACTGAAGCTAAAAGAAAGTATAGCTAATAACTACCTGACTAGTCATTACATCCCAAACGTTACTATCCCCTCATAATCACTGCGCAATGTGATTTTTCGTACAATTGCTCCAATCAGCAACTAAGTTTGCTCGGTGGGCATTTCCGTAATGGGATAATGCACATCTTTTGGTTCATAAACATCTGTAGCAATGAAATAAGCAGGTATTGAATAATCAAATAACAGTAATCACAAAAGCATACAACATGAGTCAAAATAATTTATTGACGGTGCCCCATACTCATAGCAATCTCAAGCAGGAAGCAAGAAATTTTCATCTTAAGCAGAAGATTGTAAAGTACTAGTTAGGTTAGAGTTTGATATACAATATGCTCTAAATAGTCCACAAGCAGTACCCCAACCCATCAGAGATGTCATGATTCATTGCTAGCTATACAAATAATAGAAAATCTTTTCCCACAGGCAATTCTACATACTTATACAAATTGAAATCATCAATTCCACATGTCCCTGCACCAAATCAGACTATCAGGTCCGAAACTTACTGGGAAAATTCAAAAATCTAATGCGCCTTGAAACTCCGGCAGTAGCATCAATTCATTATCACGACAAATTCTATACGTCAAAAATAAATTAAAAGAATCAAGAACTTGTATAGTAGCTGTTATAATTTCACAATGAACATAGAAGAGGCTGGCAGATTTTTCCAAAGAAAGAAGTTCAATTACAATCATTTCGACAAGTTTTTTCAGAAGTATAAGAGTTAAGCTTGGAATAATCATTTCATTAACACTTGTCATAACAGAACATAAAGCAACAGTTGTACTAACAAAATAGTACAACTTATAGCCAGAGCAATTGAGCAGTCTAACTAAAAGATAGATGCCAGAAAACATTTTCAGAACTATAAAATATAGTTAACTGAAATTGTATATATGATTACCGCGTCCATTACTTTTGGACCGGCGTCCATTCGTAATGGACGCCCGTCCATACTTTAAAAAAAAAAAAAAAAACTTTTTATTGTATTTTATTTATGGGGGACGCCCGTCCATATAATATAGACGTCCGTCCATATTATATGGACGGGCGTCCATGTGAGTGAACGGCCGTCCAAATTTGATGGACGGCCGTTCACTAGAAAAAATTGTTAAAAAATTTAAAAATGTCTTACACGTAGGCCGGTACAAATATTTCGGTGTTCGTAGTATTATTGTTACACAATATTTTAAAATCCAACCTGAGGTGAAACCCGGTAAAGCTTCCAGGTCCCAGGTTGATCGGTTTACCCGGTTTGACCGTTGGTTAAACCGGTTGACAAAAAACTTTAAAATTTAGCAAATATATCCCTAAAAATTCGTTAAATCCCTATAAGTTTGAAATTTATCAAACACACCCTAACTGCAAATCGACTGGCGACTGATTAGCGGCGGCGACACTCCAGATGCAACCCCAATTGTCCCTTGAGCCCATTTCCATCAAAATATACCCAAGATCTGGCTGAAATAGGTTTGATTTCAACCAGATCTCACCGACGTCGACATCGGCATTCCAGGCCAGATCCCATCGATTCCGACAACAACAACCCTCCCCATCACCCCAGAATTACTCTCCTTTTCCTCCTGACCAAAACCCACCTCACCCTACCCCCGTTAGCCTCGTCAATCGCCGGAAAAGTCTCATCGTTGTCGCTACAGTTTTGTTCGATTTCCTGTCGATTTACTCACTGGAAATCAAATCTTTCACCACCATTACATTCATCGGAAATTTCTCTTCAAAAGCCTCAACATTCCGATAATTAATTGTTCTCCGATCATCACCGGAAATCCTAGGGTATTGGGTGAATAGGAAAAAATTAAACTCGGCCCGTTGAAGCTTCCGGGTCCCGATTGAACCGGGCAGGCCGGACTGGGTTTTAAAACATTGGTATTACATAATCAAAATTAAAAATCTATATTTTTTTCTCTCAACTATTCATATCATGTCCAAGATTAATATCAATATATATACTCGACTTGTGTTATTATTATCATGCAAAATGGGCAACACATCTTCGTTTTTTACTTTCTCCATGCAAAATATGTGAATTTGGGCAGGTTTTAGTGAACCAAATTGGGTGACCTGGATCCGACCTAAAAATTTTTTTGGGCCTTCGACCCAAATTAATAAAGTCATATTGATTTGTATCGATATTTTTAAGAATACGAATAGATACTTATTGTATCCTAGGATACATATCAACATATCAAAAAATTTAAGATACACTCTCTGATACGTATCGCATATCTTGGGATACTTATAACCATGGTTGGAAACTCTTTTTTTTTTTTTTTAATCAAAAGGTTTGGGTTAATTTACGTACACATCAACTAATTCTCAAAAGATATCAACGTAATAACTCACC